CCCATCTTGCATAAAGTATATCTCAGTTATGTCATATTCATATCATAAGCATATTTGCATAAAGAATATGGAGTGAAGCATCACACCCATTATTGATCAGAATTGGTTATGTCATTTTTTGTGAAAGAAAGCTGGCTGGTGACCTACAGCAGGCAGTGGTTAGATTCTTACGCAAGAAACTATCTGTTTGACAGGAATAATCTTACCACTTTAAAGATGACTTAATTGACACCTTTATTCTTTTAGATTCCTGGATTTGTCTGGCTTTAGACCTGGGGAACAGATTGAAACAACACTTATTGCTTTGTTTGGTGATCTTCTGGCAGTGATCAGAGGTCATAGCACTTACAATTTTATTAAATTGTATAAGTTTTGATAAGGCTATCTTGAGTTACTGTTAACTTATCTGTGGGAGCTGATAGAGGTGAATGGGATTGTTGTACAGAGGATCTATTTATTCATATAGGGAAGACTTAGAGAATTGTGGCAATTGCATGTCCTCTCCTAGTGAAGGTCCCACAGCATTCCATCCTGTCACCCTCATGTATGTAAGGCTGTTGAAGAAAGGCATTTTGAACTGCAGTATTATCATTAAGTTGATGAAAATGAACTCTGTGTCTCCACATCAAACCTGGAATATTTGGTTGTTCTATCTTCTCAGTGCTTGACTTAAATTCAATACAGAAAAAAATGAAGCTGGTGTTGCTCGGTAGAGAAAAGTACATTTGAAAAGAAAGAGAACTGTACCTACTCCCTTGATTGAAAAGGTACTGTCACAATTTTTCTCAGTTGTTTGTGATCTTGGGATTTCATTAAATTGATCATTTGTTTCTTGAGTCCAGACTAGACCAACTTTTTCCTTCTGATGCAGATCTCAACACAGTTATCTATTCTTCTGTCACTATACTCTTAAGACTTTTGTCACATATAGTCTAAAGACCGACTTTGAAGAATATAGACAACATTCAGCTAGTCAGCGTGCAGCTTAATTGGGGGAAGTCAGTCAGCATACAGCCTGACTGGGGCAAGTCATCATGAGCAGTGGTTCAGAATTCTTTCTGGAGTGCAGTTCAAGCAAGGAATACCATCTATAAAGCCATGAGTGGTTCGGGAGCTGACTGTTGCAGAGAGAGCCTCTTCCCCCTTGCACTGTTGCAGAAATTGTGTCTTATCAAAACACCTTTGTTTTCTGTCCCTGTGGTTTAATTCCTGGGTATGGGCACAGAGCAGTTTTGGTGGAAGGCCCTTTGTTCTTGATTTCACTCCAGGAGTCAGAGCCCCCCCCTTTTTGGAGGGTGGGGGGTTTATTGGTTGGAGGGCAGATACTATGTAAGATATATTTTAAAAATTTGGGCCTGTACCCAGGATATTTATCTCATGAAGAGTGGAACTGGTAGAGGTAGGAATGGGTTTGATTTATGCCAGTTGTTGACAGTTGGTTGTTTTAATTTTTGCATTAGATTTCCAGATACCAGTTGGTAGAGTACAATATAAAAAAGAAAACAGTCATAAAAATCTTCTCTCTGTTGAAGGCCCAAGTCCTTTCAACACCTAAAGTCTTTGAGTCATAGGTGAGGGATTTAGGAGAGGATTTCTGTGCCTTTTTTTTTTAATCCTTGTTCAAGAGGAGTTCCACTTTTCATAATCAGTATAGAACCGGGAAGCAGGAGACCTCCAAATCTCCTTTTCCCTATAGCAGTGCCACTACCCTTGGGAAGTATTCCTTTTGAATGGATGCAGGCCCAAGCATCAGAGTAGTGACTGTGTGTAGTCCTTACCACACCTTCACCTCTCTTTCACGTTGACCCAGAAGTAGGACACAATCTGGTTCTAAATATACAGAAAATGAGTGCCCGTGTGGCGTTGAGTGCCCTTGATGCCCGTTGATGGTCATTGGCATTTGAGGGTGCCGAGCACCTCAGTGGATCAGATCTCATGATACTACATGATGCAACATTTCCTTTCCTCTGCTTGCCTGGGACAGTGTGAAATGCATTGTAACATTGCGCTATTCAGTGTTTTTAAAACTGTGTTTTTCAGGTTGCTGAATTGCCACTGCCGTTCATCAGCCTTCAGTAATTGGCAGTCTAGGCAAGCCTTGAAATTCAGATGTCATAGGCAGCATCACTCGTCATTGACGTAAGGATTGCATGGCTTGCCAAGACTACTTCCATTAGTATCAGTACACAAGTAACCTAATAAGCAAGTCAAAATGTTCTGGTATTTTAGTTAATGCAGAAGGCTGCAATTTTGGAACACAGTCAACAATTTAGAATGAAAGAAAATAAATCCAATGTTACTTTTACGGGATTATTTATACTTTGTTTTAAAGAGATGCACGGTATCAGAATGGAAACATGATTGTTAATCTCAAAGTTACAGAAACAAAACTCAATTAAAAAAAATGACAGAAGTAAATCTGATGTGTTGAAATCACTTTTTGTTAAGGTTCTGCAAATGTTAAAAGAAAAAGTCACTCAAATGTAATAATTTTCATGTAATTCTAGCTTAATGTGTAAATTATGTTTTTTCTATTTATGTAGTTCTTTCTGTAAACAAGAACAGATTTCTTTTAGTTTGATCCAGCTTTAAATGTGCTTGTTTTCACCCAGAACATAATATCATGTATGAACTCATTAAAGCAAAATCATTTTTTCCTGTGAAATTTTAAATAAGCTTTATTCTGGTGGAGTTTTGGATATGTTTTCTTGTGTGATTATAAGATGGCATAAAATGGACTCTTAAATATACTTGTAATTGCTATTATATATAATTGGCCTTTAAGTTTACAAGGAAAGCCTGATCTAGTAGCATTTTTAATTCAATATTCTAGTTAAGGTGCAGATCATATTCTGAGTTCATATTGAGTTTCCATCTTTTAGACTGGCTGGCTCTTGGGCTCAAAATGTCAGCATCTTAATGACAATACGAGTGTATGTGTTATAGAGTGGAGAAAGCTTTGGGTGTCTTTGATGCTTGTTTTTAGAAGCCTTTTTCAGGCTAGGATGATTTCCTTTTGGGAGTTGTAAGAAGCCCTCTACTTTTAGCTTTCCCGATAGAGTCTGTTCAGATTCCTATTGACAATTTAACAGTTATGTAATAAATATATTAAAAGGAGTTGACCAGATCCTGTCTACTTTATATATAAAACTTCCTTCTTCAGGTATGGTTGATTCAGCACCCAGGCTTTTTGATGGTACTGCATGTTTCTACACTTCCTAGTAAATAAATAACAAGAAGATAATATTTTCCTCTGATAGACCTTTTGTCTTAACAAATGACCTTTTGCCAGCAGAGTTTTCCCACAGAAAAATTGCTCAGCGATCACTAATCAAAATCTTCAGGGATCATTAATCAAAGACCTTTCAACAGTCGGAATTTTTTTCTTCTCTATTCTCAATGTCTCGGATACTTTGGAAAATGAGACAGAATGCAATTATAATCTTTTAGATCCATTTTGGCCTGTTTACATCTTGTATTTCAATATTCTGCTCCAGTCAGTGTGTCCTCTCCACTGTCTCCTGTTCATAGATCTATTGTTTTAGAGTAGTCCAGCTTTGGGATGTGACCACTCTCCACCAGATATATCTTTGGGATGCTAATCAAGGCAGGACTGAAAACAACAATTTTGGAGAATGATGAATTCTTGTAACCTTGAACACAAGCAAATTGTTTTTTTCCAGTTCACACTGAAGAGCTGAAAAAGATGGACTGTCTCTTCTCTTCCTCTACAAATCCTATGGAATTGTCTTTGTTCTTTTCTTCTATATCATCTATTCTTGTGTCCAGGACTAGGCATGATTTGCCAGAGACAGATTCAGATCTATTACAGTGATCTTAAAAATCTTCCCTTTGCTTCATGACAGTTTCCAGTTTTGTTTACCTCTCCATAGGACAATATTTCCATCACTTCAACATCTCTGGCAACTGGATGGTTATAGGCATTTCTAAGAGGTTTTTTTTATCTAGACTGGCATATGGTCTAAATTTAGAAGTGTCATAATACCACAAGATGTCTCACAAAATTTGGTTTTAGAGACCCAGAAAAGAGAGAAAATTGCACTGTCAATTATTTAAAGTTTACTGGAGCCTTTTAAAGGGGGTTTGGCTACCTGTTGGCAAACAAACTAATAAAATTTAACCCGTCCCACTATAGGGATTAGAATATTTCTTCTCCCAACCAATATCTGGATCTCTGATAGTCTCTGGTGGAGTAGTAAAGCCTAAGGGTGGAAGATTTTGTTGTAGAATACTATAAGAAAAAGAGGCCAGAATGATTGCTAATCTGGGTAAGAAACCATATTCCTCCACCATGTCAGCCTTGAGGATTGAAAATCATCAGTTGTGGTGTATAGTTGTTTATATTGCAGTAGTGTTGAGAGGCACTGGCCCCATTGTGCTCGGTATTGTATGAACATAATACAGATACAGTCCTTGCTTTGAAGAGTTTACAATCCAAGTATTACTTTAGTGATACAACTATTTTATCATGGGGAAAAAATTGTCCTCTATATTAGAACATCTTCCTGAAGAATACAAGTAGAAAGCCAAAGATTGGATAAAAGAGGACCAAAGGATTTCATACCACTGATTGAGAGTATCCTATCATGATTGGATTTGTTCACCCCATACAGATACTTCTAGTTGAGATCTCTGTGACTCTGTCCTAAAGTACAAGCCAGGGATAGAAGATATAGTCTTTGAAAGCTTGGAGATCTTTAATAAAAAACAGACAGGTCTTTGAAAAGTTAAGACAAAAGGTCAAGATTTTAAAAAGTGACAAGTGTTTTTTTTGGTCACCAACTTGAGACAGCTTAAAGGTATGTAATTAGCACAAATAGTAATAATTTTGTCCTAGTAATAAGTAGCATAATGTGTATTTTTTCTTGCAGTTTGGCTCAAAATTTTATCATTTAACTTATCTGTGTTATTGCTTTTTGAAGTATCTGTTGAAATCCACAGAGCACTTTATTTAAACATGATTATCATAATTCTTGCAGGTTTCTGTAGCTGGATCAAGTGCTGGAAGAGGATCTACAGCTGTAACTCTAGTACAGTTGCCTTCTGGTCAAACTGTACACGTCCAGGGAGTGATTCAAGCCACACAGCCATCAGTGATTCAGTCACCACCAATGCAGGCTGTTCAGGTTAGCTGTCTTTTATATTTTTTGCTGTAGTTATTGATTATTTTAAGCTTGTGGTTTCTCCTCCTTCCCCCATTTTGAAACCTCCACCTTGGATCTTCAACTTTCCATCTTCTTTCTCACCAGTGGATAGAAGACCCACTTCTGCCAAGATGCTCATGGGTAATGGCCAACTGATAATAGCTAGGCAGGTGGTGTGTAGAGATTCATTAATATTTCTTGTTTATCTTTTAAAGAAATGATGCCTTGAACCCTCAATTTGTGCAATAGCAAACTTGTATAATCACATGGCCCTATTTTAATGACTCTTCCACTTCATTTTCTCATTTGGTTGTTCTGCTCCTTCCACATCTTGTCTCAAATGGGATTATTAACTCTTCAGTGCATGGATTATCTCTTCAGTGTATTAGCAGAAAGTCTAGAATAATGGGGCCCCTATACTGATGAGAGTATCTGGGAGCAATACAAATAAAAGTATTATAAATACGGCTTCTCTTCTTATTGTTTATTCTTAGCAGCATCCATTATTGCATCTGGGTTTGCTTTACGTGATAAAGATAAAAATTAAAAATGGCTACAAAAGAAGTAGCATATATTTGGCAAACCTTCACAAACCTGATCTTGCTTAAGTTAGAGGACAGGGACCAGTGTACTAAGCTTCTCATAAGAGAAAAGACTGGACAAAAATATCTTACAACTACTCTGAAAACAACCAGATTTAGGAGTATTTGCTGTGAGTAGCAATACCTTGCCTAATCCTATCCTGAGCTCCCTCAAATTTTACTCTTGACACAGACAGCAGAAGTGTTCCTTCCAAAGAGAGGTGGTCTCTTAGATAACTGGAATCTACTTCTCACTTGCTATCATCACCGTTCTTCAACTCAGTTTAGTTCGGAACACACATACAAAAATAAAATATTTGCCCCATGGCTTGAAGTCACCCAGCAAGAGAAACATTTCCCCTGGGTTTCTCACCAACCATCTCTTTTATTAGGGGAATAGGAACCAGCTGCTCTCCCATAGCGGGTATTGGGCCAACTACAGCTGTCCTGTCTTCTCCCACAATCAGGGCGTAAGGAAGGAAGCACTTGTGCCCAGTTAACCCTGGCTGGTTGCTTCCTTTTTTCCCTTACCTTTGGGAATATGGTTATTAAAGGGAGATAGGGTGTTTCTGTCCTTACAGGGTTCCAAAAGCCCTAATGGGCCGGTATACCCCATTACATGGGCAATTATAGATTTCATCAGATCCTTAAAGTATTCTCCCCATCCAATCAGCAGCACCTCTTTATTAAGCTGGCTTTCACCCAGGACCCTATTTCTACTAGACACTGGGACACTGAGGAAATGGTATAATCTGGGTTTCACGAAAAGAAGCTTAATGTCATCTGCATATTGATGACATGGTGCCTGTACCGGCACACAGTCTCCTGCCCCCTTCTGCCCCATGGTTTCACAAGAGTTTGAACAAGAAGGGTGACAAAGACTGAGTATTTTGGGACACCACAGCCTTTTGAGTGAAAAAGCTGTTGCCCAAAATTAGGGATCATAACTGCTCTGCATTGTGGCGAATGTTTTGCATTTCAGCTCATTCTTTGAAGTTCCTTTCTTTTTTCTACCTAGTCCCCTCTGCATTTTGCCAGGTGTCTACAGCAGATTCATAGGAGGGAGGAAGAAAGAGGGGCTGAAGGGCCTTTACCCACCCTGCCCTTGAACTTTAACTTGGCCTTGTAGTTAAACACCAGTCTAGAGCTGTGAGCTGGAGTAGAGCTGGGAAGGAATGGAGATGGTGAAAGCTTGTAGAACCAGCAGCTCTGGCTGCTCTCTAATGAAGTCTTTCTCTCTGGTAATCCCTCACCAACAGCAAGTGTTAAGTATTTTTATCATATCATTAAAAATATCCATAGGTACAGAACTCATTGCAGCAGACAAATTGTATATCCCTTTCATTGGTTTAACCCCCAATTATATGTACAGATAGCCAAGAAATGATATGTATTGATTTTGGCCACTTTCTCCACATATGCTACATTCTTAAGGCTAGATCTGCTAGTGCAGGGGTTCTCAACCTTTTTCTTTCTGAATTCCCCTCCCCCCCCACATGATATAAAAACTCCAAGGCACACCTGTGCCACAGCAACTGATTTTCTGCATATAAAAGCCTGGGCCGGCATTAGGGGATAGCAAGCGGGGCAATTGCCTGGGGCCCATGCCAAAGAGGCCCCCGCGAAGCCAAGTTGCTCATTCTTCGGCTTCAGCCCCGGGTGGGCAGGGCTCAGGGACCTGGGCTTCAGCCCCATTCGGTGGGGCTCCAGTTTTCTGCCCTGAGCCCCAGTGAGTCTAACTCTGGCCCTGCATGGCGGACCAGCTGAAACCTGCTTGCGGCCCCCCGGGGAGCCCTGGACCCCTGGTTGAGAACCACTGTCCTAATGTATCTCAGCAGTGCACATCAGATAAAGGGGCCTCAAGGAGACCACTCTGCCCGACATTTAGGATGACCAGACAGCAAGTGTGAAAAATCGGGATGGGATGTGGGGTAATAGGAGCCTATATAAGAAAAAGACCCAAAGATTGGGACTGTCCCTATAAAATCGGGACATCTGGTCACCCTACTGACATTATTGCTGGATAGCATCATGTTTCTGCCCTGCCCCTTGGACCTCTAACATGCCTCCAGCCTGCCTTGGAGTGACCCTATGCCTAGGCTAGGGGAATCTTTAAGGCAACTTTAAGTCCCCTTTGCCAACCTTCATAATTTCTGTAAGAGAAATGAGCAGAACCTCCACAAATTGATTCTGCTCATCCCAGCTGGGTTTTGCAGTCTAGTTTAAAATTAGGTTTGTTCACAGTTGCAGAAATACCTCTCATTATGTTTTTGAAATATTTGGATGCTTCATTTTACTGTGTATGTCCCACACTATCCTAGCAAGCGCCAGACTGTGCAAAATGGTTTTGAGCAGAAATGGAATTGCAGTTAAATCAGTAAAGGAAAAGAGCCGTTAGGTTTCTTTGTTTACAGTAACCTGTAGGTCTTTGAAGTCATAGCCTCTGACTGTTTATACTCTTGGGATGAGGTGCCCTAATGCCACAAGTTTTCAGAATCTTCCAGGAATTCATGCCCTTTCAGATCCACGCAAGTTCTGCTTTGTGCCCCGAGTGTTTAGGGCCCTAGGTTATGTGAGACAGGTACAGCAATCATCTGAGTTCAATCTTTTCTGATGTTAGCTCCAGATGTAGGAACCTTTACTGTGTCCAAGTCTGACTCTGTCAGACTTCTAGCTCACTTTTGTTGAATCAAGTTAATATTTAGGTAGTTTAAAAATAGTCTAATCTACAAAAACTGTAGTTTTTGGTTTTCTCTGTGTGAATATGCTATTTTCCATATAACTAATATAACTGCACAGTTCCACTTTTGTACATATCCTACACAACTGTGGACTGAGCAGTTAAATGAATCATGTAAATAGTGTTTTGCCTTACTCGGTTAATCGCAGTTTCAGTTTTGCACAAAATAATATCTGCTGGTATAGATTGTGGTTTAGCTGTGCAGTTTTTTGCTTTTAAAATATCCAAACCTGAAATTAATATGTAAAAAATTATGCTAATGCAACTCTAAGAAAATATGAAAATGTAAACTCACAAAAGTCAAGAAAGTTCTAAAGTTAAAGTCTGCACACTAATACTAACCTAACCCCAGTGCACATGTGGTATGTAGTATTTTAGATGATCATTTATGTTGTTAAATGTATTCCTTAATTTCTGGATGCTAACTTAATTTCTGTGGTTGTGGTGAGGTTACCACAGCAACTTTAACGTTTGCATTTAATGTATATTGTGCATTAGCATTGAAGTTAAAATTAAAGCATTTAGTAGTTAGTTTGACTTTGGTATTAAGTTGAAATTGATTAATGCTGTAATTGCAATTTAAGAAATGATTATATTTTACTAGTTGATAGCAATCTACATTTTTGAATGGATGTGATTAACAACATGGATGTATACAGTAAATTTATTCACCTCTGACAGGTTTTTTTGCCTAAAATTAGAAATATAGAATTTGGATTACCTTTATTTCTCCAAACTGGAGATCACCGGACAGAAAAAAATTAATGTAGGTTTCAAATTGGTGTCCACATGATGATCTATGATGGAAATGTCAGAATTCAAACTTGGGTATAGTCCTATAGTTTATAATGAATGAATGTACAAAATTTCAAGGTTCCACCACACTCAACATGGAAATTATTTACATGTAAGGCTCTGTGTCTGTCAAGGAGGTCGCGGAAGTCACAGATTCTGTGATTTTCCGTGACCTCCATGACTTCTGCAGGGGCCAGTGTGGCTGACCCCAAGGCCGCCCAAGCATCTGGCCCCTGGGACAGCCACACCAGCCATTGCTCCGGCGGCCCCTGGCAGTGGTCCCCAGCCGGCTGGCTGGAGCAGCCCCTGCTCAGTAGCCCTGGGCAGAGTGAGGCTACAGCTACACTGAAAGCTAGCAATGTGATTCCTCTTTCCATGTATTCACTCTTGTGCTAGCTCTCACCAACCTAGAGCGAGTATAAATGGCAGTGTGGCTGTGGTAGCATGTGTGGTGGCAACTGAGGCACAGCCTAGATGTGCTGAATATGTATCCACAGCTAAACTGTGTCTCCATTGCCACTATGTGTGTTACTGTGGCTATGCTGTTGTTTATGCTCATACTTGCTCAATCAGAGCTAGTGCAAGTATGTGTGCATGAGCAGGGAATCACAGCCTAGCTCATAGTGTAGACGTAGCCTACAAGTCAGTCACCCTTGTGATGGGTTGCCCCCAGCCCTGGGGTGCCATCTGATACACTGGGGTACCACTGAGTCCATCTGTTCCATCAGCCTGGGCTCCCTTACACTGTCCTGCTGAACCAGGCCATCAAGCCTTCTCCAGCACACACATAGGTAGGGACACACCCAGCTGCAGAAAAACACAGACACTGAAATCAACACTGCTGTCAAGGCTGCTTCCCCACTTTGAACTTTAGGGTACAAATGTGGGGCCTGCATGAAAACTTCTAAGCTTAACTACCAGCTTAGATCTGGTCCGCTGCCACCACTCCCAAAATGCTAATTCCCTTCCCT